GTGATTTACATAAACCTTTTAACCTTACGAAGTACCTAGCTTGGGTATATTATTACAGCCACAAAAAAATAGAGTAATGTAGGTCCCCAAAGAAAATTCACCCTGAGAGAAGGGAGATGGATAAATGATCAGAATAAATGCCATGGTTCCCAGCTTCACACCCTACAAACCTAGCATCCTGCCAGGTGATCCACAGGCAGGTTGGAAGATTGAAAAATAGGATCCTGGTAGATAGCCTGCCCATTACACTTCACACTATCGATCATTCTCTCTCATCTTTTTTTCTTTTTCATTCTCTCTCTCTCTCTCTCTCCCTCTCTCTCTCTCTCTCTCTCTCTCTCTCTCTCTCTCTCTCTCTCTCTCTCTCTCTCACACACACACACACACACACACACACACACACACACACACACACTCTTCAAACATTGCCATGAAAACCACATTCATTAAATCCCTTCTACTCTCAAAAAACCAGAAATCTTTGCATACAATATGAATGCTACATCCAGTTTCATGTATTTACATCAGATCATATCTGATTAGTGTAATTTCAGATTGTTTATAGCTGTAGAATTTGTATTATTTTTTTGTGTTAGATGTTTAATTCACAAAGTGATTAGTGTTCCAAAATAGTGCATTAAAACATAAAATTAATTCTGATATTAATAAGCAATTTTGTATAATTTCAACAACTTTCATAAAAACAAAGAATTAGCAGGTGTATTAGGGTTCTTGAGAGGAACAGAACTGGGATTTATTAGAATGGAAAAATAATTTACAGTCTGTGGACCAGCTAGTCCCACAATGTCTATCTACCAATGGAAAGTTCAATAATTTGGCAGTTGTTCAGTTCACAAAGAACAATGTCTCCACTGGTCTTCAGTATATGCCAGAGCCCTGAATAAGTAGGCTCTAATGCCAGTGAAAATGAAAGCAAGCAGGCAAAGAAAGCATGCTAACTTCTTCCATTTCCTTTAGATATAAGGCTGACAGTGGTGTGTCCCAGATTAAAGTTGGATCTTCCTTCCTCAAAAGATCCAGACTGAAAGTGGGTCTTCCCACTTTGAATGATTTAATTAAGAAAAAATCCCTCGCAGGTCTACTCAGCCAAGTTTTAGTTAATTACAGATGTAGTCAAGTTGGCAATAAAGAATAGTCATTACAAGTTCACCCCTTGCTAACCTGACACACAATCACATTTCCATATGTCATGCTTAATTTCCAAATAAAAACAATAATCAGTTTATATTATGCCTAACATGGTATAACTGTCCCATGTGTAATTGGAAATGTATTATATATTTCACAAAGTCATAAATACGCCTAACATGATATAACTATGCCACGTACAATTGCAAT